TTAGAGCGACTACGTCTTCAACACACTAGCCCGAAGTATTTTCACATTTTTCAAAGTTTTATATAACTTCTTTCAAGCCACGGACGCGAGACTTGTTTAGTTTGTTTCGAATTTCGCGCAAAGCTACATGAGGGCTTATCTGCGATACCTATCCCTAATTTAGCAGTGAAAGATTAGAGAGAAGGCACCGCCCATTGTTAACCCTTGGGCTACTCTTTGCCAACAAATAGTGGGGTTGATCATTATCATATAATGCTCCTACAGCTTAAAGGACAAACATGTTTGGTGACTTATTTCAATTCTGTGACTCACATATTGTGAGTCAAGCACTCTTAACCACCAGGTCATGCCATGCGTCCTATATATTCGTGGTTTTTGCATATCACATCAAAAATGTTAAGTTGATTTTGTTCTAGCTTTACTCTCACCATGTCTTTTAACTTTGCTCCTTCAGCATCAACCAGGAAGTATCTCGAATTTTTTGTTGTTATTTCGGATGTTTATACACTTCGTGTATGTCTTCCACCAATCTGAACACTGATTTTCTACCATTACAATATATTCCACTTTTTCGGTTCCAGTTTCTAACCCACCCTCAAAAGCCTACTTGAAATAATCATTCGTGTTTTTTAGTTATAATGCTATCAAGAAGTTTGCTGCACATTCTTCCTGTTTTTAAAATAACAATTTTCACCAATTCCAATGTATTTGTTTTTGTCTAAATTATCACTATATTTATTGAGAATTTAGGTAAATTTAGATTGTGCTGCCATCTAGTATCAAAAACTGCAATAGTCGGAAAGTGTTTTGTGAATGGCTCAAAAGATGGTGCTGCAGACTGTTTTTCTGTTGTTAAAGGGCAGAACAACACAATTAGCTATCTGTGTTCCACCGTGGTTATCGAAACCAGCTTTTTAGAGTTATAAGCCTTTAGACTTACCACTGAGTCTCCGGGGGCAGCCCTAAACTGTCAGATATCAAACTTGCTTTCCTACTGTTAAATATAAAATCTACATCTCACAGAAAAATCTTTGAAATCTATCGTTTTTTAACTGATTCAATGTCTTATCTAAATCTCACCAAAACCGCCAAGTAACAGCGAAACAATAAGTGAAGCAATATAAAATAAATCAAACAGTGTACAAATGATTACTTAATCAAAAGAATATACGTATAAAAAATTCTAAATTTACTTTGCCAGCTAAGAAGTATATCATACTAATTTCATATTTATTTGTTTATTTTAGTCCAGAACTAAATAGATATCTCTCTGTCCGTCGCAGGGATATAACTTAGAATGTTAGTGCTATGGGGCTGTTGTAGCTTGTCGCTGGACCATCGGGGAGGGGGGGGGGGGGTATTTTGTTCCATTCAGTCACATCTATTAAGTTCTGAAGTGTTTACAAACAAAATTATCCATCACGAACTTCAATAAACACATCCAAGTCCAGTGGTTACCTGTGTTGAGACTGTGAATCCGAGAATTCACGGTTCACGATTGAATACCGCAAAAACGCGCTCCTATACTCTAGGTTCCTAGGTGCGTCATAGCAGTGAAAGTCTAATGACACAGTTCGGTAAAAGAAGAATAGTCTAAGAGTTCAGCGGTTGGTGCTATTGACAAGCTACCTTCCTATTAGTCTACCAGTTTGTAATTCGGAACGGTTATGCGCAAATAGGCCTTGTGTAACACTGCGCATACGTATTTGTTTAACCGCGTGTTTTTAAGTGAGTTTGTTTTGAATTTCGCGCAAAGCTTCACGAGGGCTATCTGCGCTAGCCGTCCCTAATTTAGCAGTGTAAGACTAGAGGGAAGGCAGCTAGTCATCACCACCCACAGCCAACTCTTGGCCTACTCTTTTACCAACGAATAGTGGGATTGACCGTCACATTATAACGGCTGAAAAGGCGAGCATGTTTGGTGGGACGGGGATTCGAGATTTTTAAGTGTGGAAAATGTTCCCTTTACGACGGCGTTTCCCAAAGCGCAGGGCGCGAAAATGATCTCGTGGGATGAGGAGGTGGGTCGTTTTAATATATTTTTTATTAATGAAAATAGCAAATAATTACTACAAAACATATAACATTTTAATAAGTACTACGTGCCATCACTTAACTCTTTCACTTATTTGAAAAATGAGGAGGGGGAGCGTAAGAAACCAAAAGTGGATGACAACAAAAGTTTGGAAAAAGTTGCTTTATGAAATTACGTTAGAAAATTATTATTTTATGACAAACTTTTGTGATATCCCCCTTCCAGAATTTTTTTTTACCATTATATACGCACCGATCATCATTCAACTTGATATTTTAACGTGTCTACGGTGGTTTGAAGTATAGATAAAAATTATTGGAATTTTTCAACTAAATCTCTATATTTGTGGAAACTATTAACTATCACTTTTAAACCTTTGTTGTTCTAGGGTCTCACAAATCAGGATATGGGGTTATTTTAATAATCTTTACTATCTAACAGCTACTGATAGTTCTATTGATGTTTTAAAAAAAACTTAAAAGCACCAAAGTTCATTTAAAGGTCATCATTTTCGTGGTCATCATAGAGGCAAGCAGGAAAAAGCACCATTACCACAGCCCCACAACAATGAATACTGCTACAATAATTCGCAACTACGCGCCACTAGGTAGGGTTCGTTCTTTATTTATGTGTAAATATGCACAAATGTCCTCCCGCTGAGACTGAACCCCAAATATTTGCATTATAAGGCCTAAAATCTTACTGCTGAACCACAAGGGGGCCATCACCAAAGTACGAATTACAGTTACTGTTCACTGACACTGAGCAATCTTACTGCTGAGCCACAAGGGGGTCATCACCAAAGTACGAATTACAATTCACTGAGCACTGAGCAATCTTACTGCTGAGCCACAAGGGGGCCATCACCAAAGTACGAATTACAATTACTGACACTGAGCAATCTTACTGCCGAGCCACAAGGGGGCCATCACCAAAGTACGAATTACAGTTACTGTTCACTGACACTGAGCAATCTTACTGCTGAGCCACAAGGGGGTCATCACCAAAGTACGAATTACAATTCACTGAGCACTGAGCAATCTTACTGCTGAGCCACAAGGGGGCCATCACCAAAGTACGAATTACAATTCACTGAGTACTGAACAAGTCAATAAACAAATGTTCATTAAAAAAAAAAGATATATCACATTTATCCCTTAACTAGCGTGGGCATCATACTTCACTGGTTTCTTGTAAATAATTACAAGTCACGTGATCATGTACACTTGCTCAAATTGCGTAACATTATTATTATTGTCTTCAACGTCAACTCAATGATAAAATTATTTTCATTGAATTACGATGTGCCTAAAATCTACCATATATAATATAAAAACACTACCCAACTAAAGTTAATGTTTTAAAATGATGATTATCTTTTATAAATTTAAAAAGTAACGATTCCATCATTGGAACGATTTTAAGGGAGACAGGAAATTGCAGTAACTTGTATAAATTAGTATTTCGTATCTGCAATGAGCATTACGATTCTCCTTGATCACTGAGTTGGAGATTATTTTAAATCAAACGGAATACCACTCTTATTACCTCAAAATAAAGAAATTAATGACACTAGTTTATGCTAGCGTTTAATTACACTTCCTGCTACAGATACAGCGAGTCCCATAACTCGACTCTATTGAAAGTTTAGTTAATAAAGTCCACCAAATAAGTATTTAAACCTAAATACAACCTTATTTGAAAGAACAAGAACTTGTATCTATGACAACAGAGCAGCAGAAAAAACTTGTATGCGCTTCCAATACGGTAACTTGGAGTTGGAAGTTGAACAGTTATTAAAACGTCTATCCACGAGAACATTACAGACGTGATGACACCATTCTCTTTGTTTCATGATGTACACGTACAATTCAATAGACAAGTAGAGTCCATACTCTTACAGTATCTGATTGACGTTGCGAGGACACAACTAGATATCTATTACTCTCCTCACCGCTAGGGTAGAGACATCGTTAAGTGTAGAAGCAAAGTTATATTACTCTCCTCACCGCTAGGGTAGAGACATCGTTAAGTGTAGAAGCAAAGTTATATTACTCTCCTCACCGCTAGGGTAGAGACATCGTTAAATGTAGAAGCAAAGTTATATTACTCTTTTCACCGCTAGGGTAGAGACATCGTTAAATGTAGAAGCAAAGTTATATTACTCTCCTCACCGCTAGGGTAGAGACATCGTTAAATGTAGAAGTAAAGTTATATTACTCTCCTCACCGCTAGGGTAGAGACATCGTTAAGTGTAGAAGTAAAGTTATATTACTCTCCTCACCGCTAAGGTAGAGACATCGTTAAGTGTAGAAGCAAAGTTATATTACTCTCCTCACCGCTAGGGTAGAGACATCGTTAAGTGTAGAAGTTATATTACTCTCCTCACCGCTAGGGTAGAGACATCGTTAAGTGTAGAAACAGGATTACATTACTCTCTTCACCGCTAGGGTAGAGACATCGTTAAGTGTAGAAACAGGATTACATTGCTCTCTACACCGCTATGGTAGAGACATCGTTAAGTGTAGAAGCAGGATTATATTACTCTCTTCACCGCTAGGGTACAGACATCGTTAAGTGTAGAAGCAGGATTATATTACTCTCCTCACCGCTAGGGTAGAAGCATCGTTAAGTGTAGAAGCAGGATTATATTACTCTCCTCACCGCTAGGGTAGAGGCATCGTTAAGTGTAGAAGCAGGATTATATTACTCCCTTCACCGCTAGGGTAGAGACATCGTTAAGTGTAGAAACAGGATTATATTACTCTTTTCACCGCTAGGGTACAGACGTCTGTAAGTGTCCGAGCAGAATTATATTATTTTTTCGTAGCTTCCGTTAAGCCAAAACTTCAAACACTTCAAGAAAATTGATTTTTTTTTTAAAGAAATACACAAAGACACTCATACGGATGTTTCAGCTACAATAATGAAAGTTGACAAAACTAGCAAATAAAACCAAACTCACCAGAACTGAAGCTGTCCGTTGAAGAAGCTGATAAAGACCTGCTTCTGTATTTCCCACGGCTTTTCATTCCTCCGGTGAGCTTGGTTTCCTGCGGAAAAATTCATACAACTGTTTAAAGACGGATATTCGAAACCTAACGACCGAAAGGCAAATGACAAGTTAGCTGTAGAGTAAGTACATAAAAAAAAAGTGTCGGTATGGGTAAGAATACATTTACTATATAAAATATGGAAAAATACACTGCAATACACTGATCCATTGTATCTTGCATGCGCATGCGTTACGTATAATCAATGTTGATTTCCCGAACGTATATAAAGAGGTATCAGTATATGCAGAGTACTTTTTTGTAATGACGTATAATAATTTGGTAGAGAAATTGGCAAGTAGTTCAGGTAGGCTACCTCTCACGAAATGATGTCTACACAGGGAATCAAAAACATTTGAAATACTACTACTTCGCCAAACACGGATATATCTCAGTCGGATGTCAAGTTTGCAAGAATTCAGTATAAAACAGAAATTAAATTGTAATAACAATCTGTGACGTTTTACAGTAAGGCCATGCGCAGGAATTTACATTTGACCGCTAATGAGGAGTGGGGGAGTGATGGGGCACTTTAAATACCCCCCCCCACACACACACATACATATATATATATAAATCATATCAACACACGCAAATCATGTGGATAGAAAAACACAGCATTACACACACTAAAATGGCCAAGTCCGTATGCATAGTTATTGGGGGATCTTGGCTCCCACTTGCCCCCATTGTGCACGCACCCTGCAAATTTACAATGATTTCTTTATTATTCAGTGGTATATACATTTCAGCAGGAAAGTCTTTCATACAGTTAATCTGTATCGTTCCTCACCTAACATGCGCGTGGATGTTTGTTTGTAATTAAGCACAAAGCTAAACAATGGGCTATCTGTGCTCTGCCCACCACGGGTATCGAGCCCCGGATTCTAGCGTTGTAAGACCGCTGTGCCGCTGGGGGGGGGGGGGCACGCGTGGATGTAGCTACATATGTGAAGTTTTGGTAAAATATTTTTATCTATAACATCCTGTTTTAGTCTCTTCATTTTTATCATATTTCTAGGTTTTTTAACATTAAGCGATTTAATTACACAGACCTGCGATGTTTTTATTGTCTTGAAATTTATATAATATTCTACAGTAATTCCTGTACGCTGTATCCGAAAATGATATCCACTTTTCTCCATCACGTACAGATTTTTCACAAAACGTCACAACGCAATACATAAAAGAAAGACGTAGTTCGAGACTAAAAGACGTAGATTTCAGACAAAAAAATCAGGATGAATGAGGATGTATATTCATTTGACATCAATTTTCTTCTCCTTTCTTCAGTTTGTTTGTATTTTTGTTAACAAACGTAATAATAAAAAATGTTCATTGTGGTAAACAAAATAATAATTTGATCTAAGTTTTTTTCTTCTTCCCGATTTGTAAAAAAAAAAAGTTCACGTGCAGTACAGAAAAAAATGAATATTGTTTTCGAAATCTGCGTAGCTGAATTATGGAAAATCCGTTATTAAAACCAAAACAACTTTTATGACGTTTAAATTCGCAGGCCTGTGTTATCTGCATCCTACGGCGTTATGTCATTTGGATTGCCCAAGTTAGTATGTCAGGCCACGTGACTACACAAAACCTAACCTTACAAAATGGGCAAAACAACCCAAATGAGGCCGGACTTGAATATATGGTGTTTTACGAAGAATAGCTAAAGCATTTCTAAACACTGAACGAACAGTGCAGGTTTGGCGACCTTATTAATATAGTTTATGAAAGTTTGGTTTAGTGGGCTAGGAATTTCGCGCAAAGCCACCCGAGCGTTATCCGCACTAGTCGTCCCCTAATTTAGCAGCGATAGACTAGGCGGAAGGAAGCTAGTCAACACCACGGACCGCCAACTTTTGGGCTACTCTTTTGCCAACGAACAATAGGACTGACCGTCACATTATAACGTCCCCATAGCTGAAAGAGCGAAAATGTTCGGTGTGACAGGGATTCGAACCCGCGACCCTCAGATTACGAGTCGAGCGCCCTAACCACCAGGCCATGCCGGGCATTTAAGAAGGGCATATTTCCCGTTTTCGCATATATTAAAGCTGAATGTTTTAAATGGAATAGCATATAAGGAATACAGTTTTCTCATGTGTAACGCCAAAGTGACGAGAATCGCATATAATGTGTAAAATATTGATACCGGTATAACTTACAGCCTTCTTTTTAATTAGTTTCATCATAATTTTGTAGAATAGTTAAGAGGCATTTTCATAGCCTAAGAACGCTGCAAAACGTGAATTCTCTGTCTCATATACACGTGTTAGTAAATTAACCCTTTGTTTAAAACTACGAGTTATACATTCTAATGTTAACGGTATTATTTGTTTCCGATATGAAGCCATAACTACTTTATATCTGAACACATTTTATTACTTCGTGGATCCCAATACACATTCAACTAACGTAGGACGTTCACGTGTTCACCAGTAGCGAATGTCACACCCACATCAATTTCAGCTAACGGTAAACCCCGCGTAAAATTGATGTGCAAACAGCTTCCCACGTGAACTTCGACAATAACTCTTCGATACAATACCCTATCTTATCACTCGTGTACTCCTTTGCATCATAAAACTTTTACTAGCCTTGAATTCTGCTTTTTTTTGTATGCACTAGGTTGACAGATTTGACAACTCGAATTTTTATAGCCTACTAATTTCAATCGCAAAAACAAACAAGATTATTTGTGTAGTTACCGAAATAAGATGGTTGGTGTAGTCACGGTGACTATCTATGGAATTACCGTTCCACTCCCCTGGGAACATTATTTATTTCGTATATAAAACTTAAAATAACTATGTTACGCTAAAATTAAATTTTATTTCTTACAATTATTGCTGTCCCGAGAAAATGTGATTATTTGCAGCCCAATAACAGTTTATGTGCGATTTTGCATAGAGAAGAACACCTTGAAACGTCTTAAATATACAGAAGTAACTGATCTTTTTTGTGTAACAATCTAACAGGCGTGTCTACAAATGTTGGTAACTGATTCGCCAACATTAAGTGTTAGTTGACCTACATTTTCGACACTAACTTACAAGATAAAAAATTATCAATCAATAATAATAATAACATCGGTGTTGTCCCTGAATAAGTATAAATACATTTAAACAAGGTTGTCCCTGAAGAATATATTTAAACAAGGTTGGACTCCGACACCAATGTGTTTTAAGTAGTAGAAATGTATACACAATTTTGATGGCCTTACTCTATTTGGTATGATAAAGTCTTCATTGGTTTACGAAATAAATTCTCCAAGTGTCTTCTATGCTCTTTTACACAAATACACACACACACACAACAATAGCAACAACAAAACGTATCAATGATCTGCTGCTAACTTCACAAGAATTTAGAATCTACGATAAAAGACTCGTATACAATCTTCGTTAAAAGATGTATAAAAAGTCACTTATGAAAACACCCGCTACGGTGTTTCCCTAAATATCACCTACACACTCGTTATGATGTTTCCCTAAATATCACCTACACACTCGTTATGATGTTTCCCTAAATATCACCTACACACTAGTTATGTTGTTTCCCTAAATATCACCTACACACTCGTTATGATGTTTCCCTAAATATCACCTACACACTCGTTATGATGTTTCCCTAAATATTACCTACACACTCGTTATGATGTTTCCCTAAATATCACCTACACACTCGTTATGATGTTTCCCTAAATATCACCTACGCACTAGTTATGTTGTTCCCTAAATATCACCCACACACTAATTATGTTGTTTCCCTAAATATCACCTACACACTCGTTATGATGTTTCCCTAAATATCACCTACATACTCGTTATGTTGTTTCCCTAAATATCACCTACACACTCGTTATGTTGTTTCCGTCTATTTGAAACATTTTAGTTAATTAACAACAATTTTAATCTTTTTTCTAATTAAACAATTTCTCTAGTATTACAAAATTCTGTATGAAATAATTGAACACAATGTATTACTAGGTAGTTAACAAAAATATTACTGGGTTAACAATCAATAATTAAATGCAACAATAAAATTACTGGGTTAGATAACAGTAATTAAATGCAACAATAAAATTACTGGGTTAGATAACAGTAATTAAATGCAACAATAAAATTACTGGGTTAGATAACAGTAATTAAATGCAACAATAAAATTACTGGGTTAGTTAACAGTAATTAAACACGACAACAACATTACTGGATTAGCTAATAGTAATTAAACAACAACAATACTGTTGGGTTAGCTAACAGTAATTGGATACAACTACAATACTGTTGGGTTAGCTAACAGTAATTGAATTGAATAAACTTACTGAAAAACGTAAAATTTGAGCAAACTCCAAAATAAGGTGTAACATAATTAACTATAAATAAAAAGTAGAAATTGGGTAACAGCAAAAGAAAAGAAAGTACCTAATGACCTAATTTAACGGCCTTCTTAAATTTGTCCATGAGCCGTGATAAAAAATGAGAGAGAGAGAAATATTGAGGTTGACAGTGTCAATATTAATACAAAAAATGGAGCAGTAAAATTACATTAAGAAAATATAACAAAATATTTTGTTGAATTTGAGCAAAACAAAAAGTTATTAATATTGGTCGAAGTTATCACTACTTCAAATCACACGCGGGATGAAAAACGAAAAACTCAGCATCGTATGATGAATATCACAACTCGGCTTGTAAATAACTTCACCAATAATATCCACCGATATTTGGGGGTTATCGGTAACAATCACAAACTAAATGTGGCCGATATTATTTTCACGTTTCACATCAAAGTTCAGTATAAATAATTATATTACTTGCCCAAAACAGTTGTCATCTTATCAGGAATTACTTCTTCTGATCGACATCAACTTCGAGATCAGTAAAAATAATATCGGTCGATATTTAATTATCATCTTTGGGCATTCAATACCCGGAACTATCCATTAAGTCTAAATAAATACAATAGTACTGTCTGTTGTCTGTCCACGCAAATAA